AACCGGAGGCTGGTACGGCGCCCATACTGCTCAAGATCCTCTAAAGAGGACTCCAGATGCTTAACTGTGGTTTCCAACTGCTGAACTTTGTTTGTAAGTTGGCGATTACATTGGGTCACCGTATTCAGTTGATCAGTTAGAGTTTTGATTTGTTCAGTATAAGGGGCCATGGCAGAAGAAATTTGTTGGCTGATAGCTGGTCCAAGAGCAGTAGCCAGGCTCGGGACGAGCGCGCTTATAAATGTAGGTGACGTGACCGAGGCATGTATAAGTTCAGTTAGGTTGATAGGATCACTCTCATTAGTAATTGTAGAGGTCATGCTGGGCAAATCGGGTAGGGACGATCTCCTACGACTCGACACTGGGGCACCTGCTACTAATGAGTCGGGGCTTACACTTTCCTCAATTTTGCGTTTGGAAATTGTAGATGGCGTTGAAAATTTGCCGGCCATACGATACTAAATGGTATACACTAGGCATGCAGTATAGGCGTGTATAGAAATGTACGTGTTCCACAGGTAACACAGTTCACGTGTACAACCAGGGAGGTTGAACAGTGTAAATCACTATTACGCAGAAATACACGTATTATAGTTGAAAAAGTTCATCAAGCACAACAATGACAATGCTTAAGGACAACTGTTGGTAGATTTCATGTCAATACTCTGCTTAAATATTACAATAATACCCCACCTCACCTGGGAGCTCTTTCAAGTATGTGTGTCCATTACACCATCACGTGACCTCCTATCGTTTATCCTACACTACAAAGGAGGTCATCAACGAAGGAGTTGGAAAGATGCTAGTAATGAATGTCATAGAGCCTTCAACTTCACCTTATTCATCACCAGTAGTGATGGTAAAGAAGAAGGACGGATCGAACAGGTTCTGTATCGATTTTCAGGGACTCAATCGTGTCAACATATTTGATGCGGAACCAATGCCTAACACAGAGGACATTTTTGCGCGTCTTGGGAACGCCAAATACTTCTCGAAATTGGACCTCAGTAAAGCTTATTGGCAAGTTCCGCTGGCCGATGAAGCGAAGAAAAGGACGGCTTTCACGACACCCCAAGGGTTATTCCAGTTCCGTGTGATGCCCTTTGGACTCGTCAACGCCCGGCAACATTTAGTCGTTTAATGAGGAAACTTCTTCGTGGAATGGAACATCTAGACGACTTCATTGATGATATCATCATATGCACGGATACCTAGGGGGAACACCTGGAAGTTTTGAGCGAGCTATTGTCACGTTTGACGAACGCTGGACTTACAGCGAGACCGACCAAGTGTTCTATTGATTTGGAAGTCTTTCGTGTTTGGGACGCATTGTGGGAGCGAGGAGACTTCAATGGAGGACGACAAAGTAGAGGCAATCGCCCAAAGACCGGAGACAAAGAAACAAGTCCGTTCATTCCTTGGGTTGACAGGTTTCTATCGCCGGTTCATCCCCAACTTTGCCGCTATTGCAGTGCCGCTTACAGACCTTACAAAGAAGGGTTCACCAAACAAATAAGAATGGCTGGACAGTCATGAGCGTGCTTACAACAAAAACCAGTTTTGAAACTGCCAGATTTGCAGCAGGACTTTATCTTGAGAACTGATGCGCCCGACACCGGGTTTGGAGCCATATTATTACAGGAGGAAGACGGTCAGAAGTGGCCAATTGCGTACACCAGCCGGAAACTTCTTCCCCGAGAACAGAACTACGCAGTCATTGAGAAGGAGTGTCTTGGGATTGTATAGGGAATACAGAAGTTCGAATCGTACATTTACGGATGAGAATTTCTCCTCGGGACTGATCACCAGCCATTGTCCTACCAGGACAAGTCTATGGCAGCCAATGCGAGACTTATGAGGTGGGCACTACTACTCCAGCCATATTGGTTCAAAGTTCGTGCCGTCAAAGGTGTGGATAATGTGGGAGCGGATTACTTGAGCAGGATATAGTGACTTCATGCTCCGTGATTTTTTTTTCCGGAACCCGGGGATGTTTTCACGCTCGCATGTACTCAATATGTTTTTTCATATGTTGTTTTTCGTGTTTAGATGTTTATTGTCGTGTACGAATATGTTATGGTATGTATGAAATATATTGTTGATATGTTGATATTGCTGTACCGGACATTCTTGCGGAACGCTTGTCCGTGTGCCTGGATTGCGGTTCTGGTGTTGACCTTAGTGATGTTTGTCGTGTGGGAAACTTGTGACTGTCGTGTCGTGTGGATAACGAACTATGAACTTTGAACTTTTGTGTTGGAGTGAGTGTGAATGTGTCTTAATGTGAAATTTATATGTATCTGTACATAATTTATGTAGTAAATCGTTTCATGTAAAACCGTTTGTTGTCTTCAATCCCAAACACCCTACTCGACCGCTTGTCCTACATTACACGTATCAATAATCGGCAATCTAAATGATTGAATACTGAAGCATGATAAGCCAAGATTTCTTCTTTGGAAATATTTCATCATATGTTAGGGTTTCATTCGGTATCAAGCAAGCCTAGTTCTTTTTGTATACATGGAATGTAATAATGTGTATTGAAAAGGATAAAGTTTTGAACGCCTAATCTCCAGGCAGAATAACTGTCGTAGGCATAGTCTTGTTGTATGTCAAAATATTTTGTTTTGGACGTTGCCACCTACCGTCACTGTATCATTGTAATCACGCTGTTCACTGGTCCGTGTATAATAGTGGAATATAACACAATACTGTAGAAACAACCAGGCGTCATCTGTAGATATATCTAAACTTCAAATTGATAGTCGAGTTCATTTTTTCTACGAATACTTTGTATTAGGAAAAGAATCATATAAGATATTTGAGAGATATAATTCTACTTTTGACAAAAATATACACCTGTAAATGTCTGTTGATAAGAACATTTCAAAAATACATTGCCATTCATGAGAATGACTGTTAGATACATAGCCAACGCAAAAGACATGTCCGGAAGTCATACTGATACATATTAATCAAGTGAGATTAAAAATTAATAATTTTACCACATTTTATTAATGACCAATGTACGTAATGTGATACGTTTGATGAGCGGCATCATTTACAACTATAACATCATCCATAAACAGAAACTTACATCATAAATTTATTTTATATTTGAACATATATTAATTCATTGGCAAATGAATATCAACAAATTAACGATCATATATAAGACTTTAAAAAACCTGTGCAATGTATCAGACATGGTCAGTGTGATATTGTTACTTCAGGCAGACATTATTTAACGCCCAAATAACCCTCGTACTGGACGCAGTAAACATGTCCAAATGGAATCACGTATCTGCTCACTGGTGCGTTTTAAACGTTTTAAAAAGAACAGGAGACAACAGATTTCAATTCAATTTGATCAAGCAACTCGGTGACCCACGTATTCCTCGTATATTCGATTTCGTTCCATTCTTACAATTACCGTTGAAGGGCAGGTAAGTACCAACCTTGAACATTTAACTACCAACAAAAATGGATATAACTCTTTTAATATTATACAGTTTTTATTCCATTATGGGATATATTATTGTTCCTCGTTGCTTGACTTTCTGCCCTTTACTTCTACTTTCATTCCTCTGTGTGTGTTAATAATTACTGACGTAAAATTGATTCCGCGTGAATTGCACTTTGTTTAGTTTCAAAAGGAAGAGTTATGTTTCATGTCATGTGTTTGATTGAACCTGTTGTTAACATATAGGATTTAATAAACTGAAAGAAAAATAGTTTGTTAATATAGTAATTAAAGGGAAAATCCTATATACTTCAAGCATCATACATCTGATTTTGTTGTTAGCATATATGATTTTAATTAACTGAAAAATATAGATATCACTATCAGTGACAACAATTCATTAGTTAATGTAGTAATAAAGGGAAAAAATTTAATACTCCTTGCATCATACATCTGCATTTATCTTAATAAATGGTATTTTGAGACTTAATTTGCATTAAATAAACATTTACCTTCGAGCCGATTAAACTATTTGTAAATTTCATGTATTTGCCATAGCTGATGAAATGGTTTTAATTCCAATAATAAGTTTGAAATTCATCCTTGGTGATAGTTTTCATAATTCTGCTATTTCAAAGTTACACTATAGAGTTTTTGCAATATAGGTGTTTAAAAACAATATCTTATTTTATATTAAAAAACATATCACACAGATAAACTACATATGAGATGAGAAAAAACTTAGAGTCTATATTAATTACTTTACCTTTATCAAACACATACAAACGATATTGAATCTTCGGAATTGGAAACACCTTACTTCAATATGTAATGACTAATTAAATAAATTCTAACAATTAATATACAGGTATATTCATATGGTGATCAGAATTGGTTGTATTGGTTTGTTTCGAAAATGATGCAAATTTCCAATGCATTTTGTACATGTCATTTACAACTGTATACTCACTCCAAACCCGAAGTTTAGAACTATTAAACTTTATTTACAATCGAACTTACTGACCATCCGCCCACAACATTTCATGGTCAAATGACCCTTGTTCCGGATCTAGTACACAAGCACCTATAAACGCTACCAGCCAATCATAAGTGCGGTTGAAACGTTTAAGGTAAAAGGTTGGCGACAGAAGATTTTGTTTCGATAGTTTAATCAAGCAATTTGCTGATGTAGATACCTTGTCATTATTGCTTACACAGGGAATTCGGTTTAGTTTGACATGAGAGAGTATTTACCGAACCTGAACGTATGCCTGGAGATCATACAGTATCTACTTTTAGCGGATTCAGTGTTTTATTGCTATTGTATAACTGTAATTTCAGTGAGCTCAAGCTCGTCAGAATTTATTAATTTCTGTACATTGCCTTCGTAGACTTCATTTTTACGTTTAAAAGATTAAAACCTGCTAAGTCTTTCTTACATTTTAAGTTATTAAAAAAAATGTACAAGTTAAAGTTCATTAATCTACTTTTGTAGGATTCAGCGGTGTATCGCATGATATAACGTGTTGAAATCATGATAACATTATTGCAACGACAGTTGCATTTAGCGCTTGGCATTTTATGCTTTGTGACGTCAGCAATCACGTGTCCACATGATGACGTTACTCTATCGCGATGGAGTGATGTATCTACCTGGCCTAACAATAAGGTAAATATATCTAAATTTTTAAAGGAATGTATCTTAAGATATTAACCAGGATACACGAAAAGTTCCTAATATTGGTTTTTAAACAAATAAACATGAAACAACCTACAACTATAATTAGTTTTCAAATTTAACACGGTGAATCTTTTGAGTATATGTCAATGTAATATGTTACAAAATATTCTGAAATTTTGTTTCACTTTTGAAAGCTTCCAGAAGCTGGGGCTAACGTCAGTATAACTGGCGATGTACTCTTGGACATGTCACCTCCCGCATTTTTTGGAGTAACGGTTGAAACAAACGCCAAACTCGTGTGGAGTCCGGGGGGAGATTTCCAGTTGATTACAAACTTCATCCACTTAAAAGGAGCACTCCACATTGGTTCTGAGACCTGTCCATTCCAGGCAAATGCTCGGATTTCTTTGACAGGCAAGTAAATTCAGACAGATAACTGCAAGAGCCAAACACATATTTCATTTCAATTTGAAACCGTTCTCTTATGGCAGATATTTTTTCAAAACAGAACACACACAGGTGTTTATTTATTCGTTTTGTCATGTGATATAATTACCATGATGAAAAGTTTATAAAATGTGCTAAACTGTATTATTAACCTACACATGCACGTGTATCTGGATTGTAATTATCACAAGTCAAAATTAACAGTGCACTGTAGATTAGGTGACGAAACGAAGAGATAAACACATGTATATGCTCTGTTACCTCAGTGTGTGTATGGGGTGCAGTTTCTAATAACATATACGATGGATTTATATATCTGACATAATATACATGTGTAAAAAAGACTAATTGTATTAAGTAAAATCTATAGGTTGACTGTAGAGATCTTGAAAGCAGATGTATGTATATTTGTGTGAACCAAATTCATGAACTAAAGTATTCCAGGTGATCGTCAAGAGTATACGGTACCGAAGTTTGGTCAAAAATTCGTGGGAGTGGACAACGGGGGAACGCTGGAAATCCACGGGAAGAAGAAGCTGTCGTGGACCAAGTTAACTCGTACGGTTCCTCGACTACAGAAGACCAATGGACTGGTCTTTTCCTCGACCTCTGACCAAGTGAGTATTTTAATATCCTTTTCCTTCAGTATATAATCATCTTACTTGAGAGCGTTTTATTTTTTGATGCTCATTCGATATTTTCTAGAGAACATACAGTCATCGGCATGTCCGTTCGTCCGTCCGGATCATAACTTTGCCTACAGATAAGCAAGGATTAAGAAACTTAGTGTATGCATTGATCATAGTAAGACAATGTGTTGTGTATTAAATTAAAGGTCCTTGACCCCTCAATTACAAAGTTATTACCCTTTGTTTAAGGCGATGTGCAGTCACAATTCAGGGTCCTCGACCTCAAAAATTACAGAGTTACTGCCCTTTGTTATAATTTCATGTTCGGATTCATTGGTTGCATTTAAGTTAGGATAATGAAACTTGTTGTGTATATTGATCATTCTAAGACGATGCACAGTGTACCAATGTCAGGGCGCATAACCCCTTAATTAAAGAATTATCGTCCTTTTTTAGAATTTCATGTCAACAGCACACATAAAATTGCTTGCATTTAAACAAGGAAAGGTTTTAATAAGAAGTCAGTATAACCTGCTAGCTTGTAACAAATCAAAAATATTTGTTACGGCGTTGTCGTATCAGATATTAAATACAGTTATACGTTACCATTTGTGTTTTGATTGGTTGTTGGCATTGATAATAAGTTTCTGGAATTTATTTTCAAAGCCAATAGGACACCATCAAGAAGGAATGGCCATTTACACGTTTAATTCTAATGGCGGACTCAACAGTTTTAAGATGTTTTCCACTAGTGGAGTATCAAAAGCAGCTGCGGATTTGGCTGTTGGCGATATCGTCTCCCACCTGTCTGGTAAGTTGGTCTTTATAAAACTTAAGGTGAGACATCATATTTTAAGTCGATATTATTGGTGGTATGAATTTGTGTTATTTCAACAACTGTTTGTAACTTGAACGGTGACAGGAACAAAAGCATGGTAATTCAAACCTACAATCGATTGGATAATCGAATGTGATTAAAGAGTGGAAATGTTTTCTCTTTACAAGTGCGAGCAAACACATTGCTCGAATCTATTTATTCGAGTAATATTAATTATATTTGACGTTCAGAAGGTGATACAGTTTGTATTTTAAACTGGATTTCAATGATACGTCTATTCTATATTAAAACGTTTTTGAATGGATTTTTTTCTATAGATTTTTCACGACATTTCTGTACTTCGTTTACTTGCAAACAGAATGCAAGTGTTAATGTAGTAAAATAGAACGAAATAAAACAGGTTTCTTTCACCTTTATTTTGTTTTACTCATTGCAGGTATCCCCGATGGCAAAGTTGTCCTGATTGGGGTCCAGTACACTATGTTATCGGACCAAAATCAGGTAGACTTCTCTGCTGTCTTCGACGCTATTGAGACAGTTGCTGGTATTTCGCAAGGTCAAGGTCAAATAAGACGTATTGGAAGATTCGACGCTTACGCTCTTGCTACTGTTAAAGGTAAATTAAAGATAACTTTGATCATTGGACAGGAATCTGGATGTAACATAGTGACGTCCTTTAGCTACATATGGAAGAGAAGACAAGCAATAATGATTTCGATTAAGCATATATAAATGTTGTAGAACTCCCCTTGGGAATTTGTGTGAATGATCAACTCGATGATTCCATATTTGAGCTTATATTTTAATGTCCTGTTACATGAACTTTTTATATTTATTTCAAAACCTGGTTTAAAACATTATGGTATCACGCCGAATATCTCACATTGGCAAAAAATATATCTAAAAAAGAAAGGCCATAAACTTTTTTGTCATTTTACACTTTTCATACATTGAAGGGGATGCCTCAAAAACAATGGAGACGTTGAGCCCTGTTCAACACTACCACCAAAGAGCTGAGGCCAGGGTGGACGTTAACGATCTCGTGATGGTAGCAATAAGCAAAACTACATCAAAACAAATCAAATTCTGGGAAAATCACAGAGTTGAGTTTAAGGTCGTGAGAAAATCAAATGCCGCTATCATTTTGGACTTGATTGATGATGTCAGCTCCTGGGATGAAGGTACCGGTCACATGATCACACGTATATCTTAACACGTTGTGTACTAAGTTATCGGTATACAAAAATAAGATTTGTCTACTAAAAATTCGGGGTTCGATTCCCCGAACAGACGCGAAGAGATAACGGAATAAATGACCGATCATGTGGGGTTTTTCCTTGGATTTTCTGGTTTCCTACCACAGTTATGCTCCTCGCACGCTTTGATAAGGGGCTTTAGACGTAATTAATATAATAATAAAAAAAAACATGCCTCTCAAATAAATAAAGTTTCAAAATAAAAAAAACAGTGAATTATATTTTCCTAACGGCATTCACAGGTGACCGCTTGTTGCTGACCTCAACTGATTATGATATGGAAAAAGCTGAGGTGGCCACCATTGTCAAATGTACAACTTGCACCAGTACGCAAGTTAAGGTGTCGTGTAAGTGTACAGTTTGCTTTGCGTCTACCCATTATATGTGACGATATAAAATGGTAGTGAAAGACTTGATTTAAGTGTTGCTTTGTATAATGGATATCTTTTCTTGGTTTTGCGTGACTTAACCCATTCAGGTCAACAGTCATGTTTTATCAGTCAGATCATATATTAAGAAAGTAATAAAAATGTTTTACATTACGTTTTTCTGAAATTATCCGATATGTATATGAAAAAAAACGAAGTTAATCCAATTTTGTTTTATTCATCTGTTCTCATCATCTTCAGTTATCTCTCAGATTTGAAAAAAAATTAAACCCTTTCCATCACTGACGGGTCCTAGAATAATTCCCAGATGTATGATGCAGTTTGATCCATATTATAACGCTGTCTAAAATGTATTAAAAGGAGCTCTAAATTTATGGTCTTTTACAATCATTAATACTATACTGAATTCCAATTCGTATAATACTTTCAATGTGATACCAGAATCGCGTGTCATACGGTCCAAAGTGATGCCACGATAAATGAGTATTGACATTAGCGAACTTTGTATGTTGTATTTAAAACATCAAGAAACACTTGGATATCCATGGAGAATAAGCAACATCTGACATTGTAACTTGTACTTGCCATTTTATTTTTTGCTAATCGATCACACGTCATGTTGTCTTAAATTTTTATCAAATGTTACTTATCTCTGTATGTCCCTAAAATCATTATTTTATCTCACATTTTCTCAACCAAAACAATTATTTTACTTCAGTTCCCTCTTTCATTCCATCTATCATCTCCTTATATTGTGAGCCTGTATAAGGTTTTAGATGTAAATAATCGGGTAAAACATATTGTTCTTCCACAGTCCTTCCACAATTCATGCACTACGGTGAAGTTGAATATAACGTTGATATGAGAGGCGAAGTGGCCCTACTGTCTCGAAATATCGTTATAGAAGGCGTTATGAACGCATTTTGCCCTTCTGTAAACGGTAACTGCAACGACTACGCCTACGATACATTTGGTGGTCACGTAAAGGTAGGCATCATCATCTGTGTCGCTCGCCTTTTTAGAAGTGTTGCGTAACTAATTACTTTTCGTTCTGTTGAATGATAAATGCTTTTTGTAGAAAAATATTTTCCATTATAAACATTTTGAATGTGATACTTAATTTTTTTTTTTTGGAATGATCAAGATTTACAAAAGCCCTCAATAAAGAAGAGGATGCTTACCGTTCTGGAATACATGGTCTTATGATCACTGTACGTTTTTTCAAATGTATTTATACAAAAGTTTAAGGTATGTTCTTATATTTTCCTTGTTTCATCGATTTGAAATTGAACTTCGATCATGCCAATATTGTTATCATCATACAAATTTCTCATCCATACCATCGTATTTTACAGGCCGTTATAGGATTTAAGGACGTACATATTGAAGGAGCAGAATTTTACCACCTAGGCAAACAGACAGACCTAGGTATATATCATTGACTTTTTTGACAATAATGCAAAATTTGATAAAATTTTGGGTGTAATCGTTAAGAAAATTTTTGACTTTGGAATATTACAAGTGTAATAAATTTTATTTTGATTATGTAATTGTCAAAATTAGATGTTATAGGTTAGAAATGCTTTTGAATTCAGGTCACTATCCCATTCATTTTCACATGTGTGAGGACGTGGATGGTTCACACTATCCCAATCCTCCCTACTTGCGGGAAAACTCTATCCATCACACCTTCGCGAGATGTATAACAATCCATGGAACACACGGTGTCACGGTAAGAACTATTGGAGAAACGTTCTTTGGACATGGATATAGAAGTAAACACAAAATTTCGAGATTTAAAATGCATTATAACAACAAATCTGTCTTATAAAGCTTAAAAGGTGTTTGTGCAACACAGAAACATAATAGAAATAATAATTCTAAATGTATTTGATGTTAAGTTTTAGGAAAAAAGAAAAGAACTAGGGAAGAGAGATGAGAGATATCAAAACAATATATCTTTTAGGTTATGGACAATGTCGGATACGAATCTCTCGGTCATTGCTTTTTCCTTGAGGATGGTGGGGAGAAGAGGACCGTGTTTGATGGCAATCTCGGGGCCAGCACCAGGACCGGCAAGCTTATACCTTCTGATAGGTTAATATAATTTTGTCGGTATTCGTCAGTGATTTTGTAGGTTGCCTTCCAGAGAAAATGTGGGGCATTTATCTATTTCATTATCACGTAAAATATTTAAGCGAAGCTTCGTACTCATGAAAATATCTGAGAACTTGCTGTATTTGAAAAACAATCAAAACATTGTTGAGTAGAGTAAAAAATTGATGTAAACACAAATAAATAAAGATACCATAGGATCTAAGAATCTATTTTCTATTCCATCAGCCAAGCAACCACGTTTTGGATCACGAATCCCAATACAGTAGTAAGGAACAATGTCGCCGCCGGAAGTAAGGTATATCAGTTTTCGCATTAATGAGGATATCGCATGTTACTGTCCTTTTCAACAATGTAATCGCACATGTTCTTTAACACTTCTAGAAGTTAATTTTTTTGTGAATAACCATTTTATCATCATAGGCCAAGGGATATTGGTTTATCTACCCAGATATCCCACTCGCTGGGTCCGCTACCAAAGGTTTCATGCAAAGGAATGAGGCCCGTCATACAGCCATTATGGAGTTCTATAACAATGTCGCTCATTCAAATAAGGTAACATTTTTGATGTACTTACATTTCAAACATGTATAATGATTTAAGAAAAGAAATTACGTTTCAAATATTGAAAGGATTAGTCTGGTTGCCATGTCTAATGTATATATATAGTAATATGATTGAATTTTAGAGCCCAACCCATTCATACGTAGTTGTTTGACTCTATCTTATACATTTTAGAACTTAAACTTTTCCTTTTATCAATGTAAAATTTATTTATATATATTTTTATTTAATGTCTCACTAACTGAAAATTTCAAGATTGGACTTTTTGTGGATGACCGACTGGACGAAAATACTGGCCAAATCATTGCAGACAATTTTTACCATCCAAGGGAAAATCCGTTCGATGATAAATCTGCCGACAAACATGTAATTATCGAAAGACTCACTGGTATGTATTTATGAATAGACGGTGTTTAATGAGAGCATCAACTTTGAAGTTGCTAATTGAACTATTATTATATATCAATGATCTCCTTATTAGCAATTATATATCGAAACGTTTCAAAATGTTTGAGTAGTCTCAACTGCGCTGTCGAATTAGAAACTGATTAAAATGTGACTATACTAGTTGTGTTACAGGTGAAAATGCAATTACAAATTTAAGAAAACATGTCATCAACATTATTTAAGAATTAAGACTTAAGTGATATCTGTGGGCGGTCACGAGTAAAGGGTTATAATATTTATCTGGCTTTCATCAGAATTATATGTGAGTCAATGCCTTCAATGGAAAGGTAATTAAACAAAAGTTTATACCTATTAAAGAACCATAAAGGTTGTCAGTTTCATTCTGTTTATGAAATATCATCACACTTATAGGTTAATTGCTACCCCCACTTCCACACACGTCCCACCCAACAAGTTTGGCCCTTACTATTGCCTTCCCACGTAGGTTAAACTTCACGCTCAGGAAACAAAAAAAAAAAAAAAACAAAAAAACAAAAAAACAAACAAACAAACAAAAAACATGACCTGTAGCAATAATTATCGAAAACTTTCTGGGTAATGTAAGATGCTTAGGTATTAATAGGTGGTAGAAAATATGTAATCATAATTGTTTTATTTCATCTGATATAAAAACAATCTTGAAAATTATCAAAGCACATGTAAGCACAGTTTAATAGGTAAACACAGTGTGAAGGACACGAGAAGTTGTTACAATAGCTTCCTTTACCATGTCCTTGATAATTTGTTTACTGAAAAATACATTCTCGTTTAACAAAAAATGCTTGGTTTTTATAAACAGTTTAGTGGCACTTGGTTTCCTAGATGAATTCGTATGCACTTATATAGTAAATTATGTATATACAAAATAAACAGTCATTTTCAGACATACGTAAACATTCTCGTGTGATCAATAAATGTGGGACCCAAATAGTAATTGTTTGCTTTCGGTTCTGGATGAATGTCAGTAGGTCTTAATAAGTTTAAACAGTTTTAATCGTGGGGTTCAAGGTTCAATTATTGATAATTAAAGTTCAGGAATTCAGATAATTTTGTTTCATAATGTTTACTTTATTGATACATTAATTGAACTTTATCTAATTCGTAGACTTGCTGGAAGTTCCACGTCTCTCCTTTTTATACGGGTAAGACCATTGATTTACATGTTGTTAGTAGTACATGTTATTGGGAGGCAGACAATCCCACTAAACTCTGCTCTGAATTAACCTCACTAATTGGATTTTTGTACTCATCTTTATATAGAATGAACATAGATAGAATCAATATATAGGAGTATTTTGTTGTTTATGTTGCAGAAACACTGTCATTAT